CGCAAGCTGCTAATAAAACTGATCTCTTTTCCGTACCGCACGGCGGGTATCGCCAGCATTTGGGGTTGTGGCAGACGCTTGCTACCTGTCGCCTACGGAGAACACTATGCACTTAGTCCCGTGGAATATCAAGTAACATCAAACTTGAAAGTGAAGCAAGCAGCATGTCACCGCCGACAATTGTAGCTCACGCAGGATACGGCTTTTCTTTCCTCAGTGAAACTGAGTGGCTGAGGTCATCAGTAAGGTCCCCTTTTCGGGTACGCTACCTTCACCTCAGGGGAGACTTCTTCGATTATGAACTTTGGCCGATATTGTTTTTAAAGCTGCCTCATGTTGGAATTTGTGGCATGGATGCGATGTATTATTTTCCACGAGGGAATTAATTTCCAGGTCATTGCATTTATACATCGACGATCATTATTTCATGGTGTATCTGTACCCTTTGTTCATAAAAAACCCTATTCTTTATTTTCTAATTGATGACGTATCTTATACAACTATAACATACGACTAAAATCTTTGCTTATGTTTTCAAATTTTAAAAAAAGTGCATTAGCTATTTAGCTAGCTAGTCATATTTAAAGCTTCTCATTTCCATCCGAAGAGATTAATGTGATTTTATTCATTATGAAAATCAGCTTTTTTGCCTGTGCCCATTGATTAAAACAAAGTTGTTAACCTTGAATTATGAATTATGAGGAGATAAGACGATGATCTGGGATGAAAGGGCTACTTCAATTATGTCCATGCCTACGCAGGATTCGAACCTGCAGCCTTCTCAGCGCAGATGACTGCTTCTGCAACAGTCTGCGCCACGTGGGCCGGCACTTGTTATTGTTGGTTTTCTTCTTCTTGTTGTATATTGTTATTCTTGTTATTTTATTATTATCCATATTTACGTGATCTCTGCATTCACACCTCCCAACTGCACCCGCCTATTCCCGACAAAAGACCGATTTCCTTGTGATTTGACGCTACGGCGGCACAGCACTACACAGCATGATGAAATGCTGCCGCGTTTGTGATTTGAGCGCTCCCCTCTGTGTGTACGTGTGCGCGCGTTTGGTAGTAATATCGCCGATGTTACCTTCATTACATATATCATTATTTGATACTTCCTTTCTGCTAGTTGGGATGAGCGCGCGCGGGTTTACTACCGCCGCTCAGATATTCGGGCTTTCAAAAACAGCGCAAAATAGACTCTGTAATGTGTAATAACGAGAATCCCGCGGTCGTAAATGTTCAGTACCCCCTGTCCGCTTCTCCCCCTCGCGCCCTACCGTTGCTCGCCAAATAAAATTTTGAAAATGAAATGTCTAATGGATTCGTGTGGCCGGCTGTACCCCGGTTTTGAAACCGGCTACAAAATTGAAAAGTACCTATCAGTGTTGAATAGATGTGGCGGAAAAGCCCCACCTCTGCAATTATTTATTGTTTGTAGTTTAATACCTGAATGTGCTCAGGTTTGGCTGTAACTACTATTAATTTCAAATCTACATACAATATTCTGGAATATTTTCCCTTAAAAATTATTGTTTATGTATGCATATTTATGTTGCTTCATACGATATTTCTGTGGCTGGATGCAAGTTGAACTTGCAATAGTTGAATTTGAGCATAGTGAAGCTGCTATATTAAAAATGAAATGAATTTTTAAAAAATGTATTCAATTTGAGAGCACCATAAAATTATATTTACTTAGATATTAAAATGTAGAAGTGAAAGTGTTTACTTTCGAAGAATTTATTGTTATTGTAATAAATGCAACTAATTGCAGAGAAGATAATTTACTTTAACATTCTTTTATAGTGATTTTAGTAACGTAAGAAAAACATGGGGAAAAACATGATGGCGAGAGAAAATGTATATGGACTTGGTTACTAATACCCATGTGTTTTACTTTCAGCACCAGATACGTACAGTAGAGTTCTTTGTACATTCAGTGAAGTATTTCCAATTAGACTAATGAGGTGGAATGAGCGGTACTGCACTTCATTATTCATTGCAGTAATTTCGTGTCAGTACGTTCTGATTAGTTAATTTAATTTGGGTACTCACATTAAATAGAGATTTTTTTGCTTTCAGTCGAATATGTTATCCCAGTGAAATTTCGAACTGACATACAAGGAGTGTATCAGTTTCTTAACAATGACACAATTTGAAAGTTTTTTGATTACCAACGAAGACATTTTCCTCCACACACCTCTTGGATCTTATAGTCCTGCGCCGTTCTCACGTTTTTCCACGTTCCCACGTTCCTCCTCCTTTCAAACCGGCATACCGGGGGGGGGGGCTGAGTGACCCACCGATAATTGTTTGCCATTTTTAAGTAACAGTTTGTCTAGATAGCTGAAATCATTGATAATGTTTATGATGTGCTTTGTGTTCAAAATATTATACAACTATTCACGAGAGTTTGTTAGTATTTGAGTCCTTTTGTTAGAACCAGCGTCTTTGGCTGCGACAAGTAGCACATTTCGAGTCCATTTATTCAGAAACCAAACCTTCTAAATTCATGTCGGAAATATTTTTAGTACTTTAGTCATAGTCTAAGACTTAATTCCCTGCAACGTCGTGATTCTTTGAGCGATGGAGCAACACGGAATGATGGCTCTTTTGCATAGAATGGTTTATGGTTTAAGACCATCCTATCAAAACAAATGATTTGGATATAACTTCTCGAGGAGCACACACAAAGAGGGAGAGAGAGACATCCACTCAGAGGAAGATAAAGAGAGAGAGAGACAAACCCACAGAAAGAGAAGGACGCACACTCAAAGAGAGATACGCATACAAAAAGAGAAAACACAAAGAGAAAAAGAGTGAGAGACGCACACAAAGAGAAGAAGAGTGAGAGACGCACACAAAGAGAAAAAGAGTGAGAGACGCACACAAAGAGAAAAAGAGAGATAGACGCACACAAAGAGAGAGAGAGAGAGAGAGAGAGAGAGAGAGAGAGAGAGAGAGAGAGAGAGAGAGAGAGAGAGAGAGAGAACGCACACAAAGAGAGAAGCAGAACAACAAAAAATTGCTTGAGATCCTTCGAAAACGAATCCTTCGTACTTCTGCCCTTAATGTTACATACCGTTTTTATTGTTGTTTGTTACTGATGATTATAAATATATTACAAAATTAATAAAAACATCTCCAGGAGCACACACAAAGAGGGAGAGAGAGACATCCACACAGAGGAAGATGAAGAGAGAGGCAAACCCACAGAAAGAGAAGGACGCACACAGAAAGAGATATACGCATACAAAAAGAGAAAACACAAAGAGAAAAAGAGTGAGAGACGCACACCAAGGGAGGGAGAGGGAGAGAGAGAGACGCACACAAAGAGAGGGAGACGCACACAAAGAGAGGGAGACGCACACGAAGAGAGGGAGACGCACACAAAGAGAGAGAGACGCACAAAAGAGCGAGAGAGAGAGATTTTATGTATTTATATTTATTATATAAATTATAATAATTTTAAAGATTATTTGTATGCTAGTTCTTATCTCTCGACATGAGTCATCGATAAAGTGGCGATCGGCAAACTTTGCTGACTTCCCCACTTCTCTCGCTGGTTCTTGTAAGCGTTTTCGCGTTGTTTGCTGTATAAGTATTGGTTTGCCACATTCTTAAGTATGTTGTGAATACTTTTTTATCTTGCTCACAAGTTTTCACAAATACTTTTTAATTTGCCTTTACTAAACTGTATTGCATAAATACTTACGTACTTAGTATCTTAGAAATGAAAAAATCCCTAGTTTAATGTAATTATTTGTTGTCTCTTTAAGCGCAAGTTTCTTGTTTAAATCGTACCTACGTATATTTTACGAGAAACTTACAGGTTGCTGATTGGAGTATCTGACTAGTTACTTCAATTCAGGAACATTCAAAATCTTTTGAAACTCCATAATAAAATATACCAAGACAAACGTCTAAAAATGCGAAGGACGAATAATTCGCAAGTGAACTTTAAGTTTCGTCTGTGACACTCATTATGTACTTAATGAATGTAATTATTTTGTAGAAATATTGTGTAGCATTATACTTTTAACATTGAATTGCTCCTTTGTGATGGATCGAAGATTTCGGGCAACAGCGTCCGCGCATATGAAGAGCGTTTTTCACCCTCGCCGCTATTGTTCTCCAGCTCTCCCAGTTTACCTTCGCTTTGATCAATTTCCCATAAATCTGGATCGATAGATAGCCTATAAATTTCCCGTGTCAAGATAAGTGACAGTACCAAATTGGGTGGCTGTTCATTTCCCGCTTAAGAGATTGCCTGATCCAAACGGGTAAACACGCATTAAGGCATACTGGGTGATTATAAATTATGTTCTGGTCGGGAAGCTCTGGAGACGAATATAATTGAAGTAACGGTCTCAAATTTGATGTACCTGCATTCAATCAAGATGATGAAAGATAAGATTTATTAAGAATGACACGCGCGAAATCATCCATTATTCTGACGTTATGTAATTGAATGATGTCGTTGATGCCAAGTAGAGGCAGGACCTGCAGAAAGTCGTTTTACCGTTACTATGTTTGGTTTCATAATATGAAAAGAACTCAAGTTTCGTAATCGTAACGCACGTTTCTAGCTATCTCTTTCATTCATACTAAACATTTTCATTTCCGCCACTCATAACTTTCATAACATAATGTCTTCGGTTCGCCTTATTAATAGTGGCAATGCGAAAGGCAAACAATTGAGAATTTCAACCTCCAGAAAATATTTGCTTCTTTCTTGCTGATTCCATATCTTAAATCATTGTATCTCAAAAGTGTAATAATAATTTCTTTTGAACACATTACAGTATACCTTAATAATACCGATAAAAGAATCCTGTTCATTTTTAATGTTATTTGCGGAAATTTGGTGTAATCTGTTTCCCATCGAAAACGTAGTATTTGAGAAAACTAGAATTTTTATCTGTTTCCGGGCATACAATTCAAATAATCAGCGGTGAAGCGGAATAAGCATTGCAGTTTCGGTGTTATCCCAGCCTGCGTGCCCCGACCGTTGCCACCTCAGCCTTCGAGTCACGGCCGCCGCTACGCCTTCAGCCTCCGTGTACCGATCATTACCACCCCAACCTCCGTGTCACGGCAGCCTCCGTGTCACGGCAGCCTCCGTGTCACGACCGCCGTCACCTGTCCAGCCTCCGTGTCATGACCGCCGCCAACAGTCCAGCCTCCGTGTCCCGACCGTTGCCACCTCTGCATCTGCAACCCGTCCGCCACCACCCCGCCCTCCGCTTTCCGACCGAGGCCACCCCAGCCTCCGTGTCCCGACCGCCGCCATCCCAGCCCTCGTCTCCCGACCGCGGTCGCCGTGTTGCGCCGCGCCTGGCCTGGTCGTGTCGCAGCGCGGCGCCCGCTTCTTCGCAAAGCGAGACAGGCCAGCCGCCGCATTGGCGCGCGCCCGCCGGAAAATCCCTAAGCGGCGTCGCATTGTGCTGCTGCTGCTGCTGCGGCGGCGGCGGCGGCGGCGGCGGGGGCGGCGGCGTCACTGACGGCGCGGCGACGGCGGCAGCCGATGTTCAGTCGCGTCTGCCTCCATTCGGTGCTGTGTGTTCTCTGCGTTCCATTCGTGATTACTGGGCGAGAAAGCTTAATTCCGGCATGTTGTTGACTCGGTCAGGTACTTAGCGACGCGGCCGCCGCCGCCACCAGCACGGCTTGGCTCGGCTGATGCCGCTGCCGCCACTGCCGTCGCCTTCAGCGCCAGCGTAGCCGCCACCACCGCTGCCGGCCGCCTCACACGAGTCGCCGCCCCGTGGGATTTTGGTGCGCGCCGAGCTGAGGGAGCGCCGCGGGCGACGGGCGGCGGAAGAAAAAGGCTGTTGAATCTGCGAGATTTGGTGTGGAGTTGATCTTCGGAAGAAAAATAGTAGGAAGTGCAATGTTTGAGAAGTTAATTGAAACAGTATCGATGTTGGAGAGAAGGATGTTGTGCAGTATTAAAAATTGGGAAGAGCGATACGTAGGGTGCCGTCAAAAAATTGTTTCTTCAACAGTCCATACCTCCTCGTATTATTAGTACCGTAATATTATTTGATTGCCTCTTGATCGTTTCAGTGCTTATTCTTCGCTTCAGCCATTACTCGAAAATATGCAAAGTTGTATATCTAAAAAAGTACACGAAAACTACTAATATGTTGAAGAAATGCGTAAGAAGTTATTTGATGACCTAATATTTAAAGAAATGTTTGCATTACGAAAGAACTATGTAACATTAATATGAACTAACTTCACCCTGAAGAGTATTTGACAGGATCGAAAGAAAATTGAATTCTGCCACCACTACATTACTATACCACTGACCATTGAACTGTGCCACTATATAACAAATATATCGTAAAACTTGTCATATTAAAGACATTACATAAAATAATTTAGAGATCATGTATTTAGTAGATTGCATTTAAGAAATCTCTAGCTTGTGTTGAAAGTGGACAGATACGAAAAAAAAAAGAATTTATAATTCCAGGGGTTTTAATAAAAGTTAAACATATTATTTCTTTTTGAGTAAATGTTGTTCTATTTTAGCACAAACTAAAGAAAAAAATTACAGACCTACAGACATTTTAGAAAACTTACTAAAATTGTTTTCATTGTCACTATTTCATTCTAAATTACGGGAAAACTGTTCGAATTGTCTAAAACGTTTACATGGAATTAAATAAAGATCTAATTTGGAAAAATTGATTTCATTTAGTAAATAAATTCTATATCTTCTATGTAGTTATGGGAGTTGTTGAAATGTTAAATTTTTTTTTCAATTTTGAAATTTTGAAGAGAATTTCGAATATTTATTAGCGCATATTACTGTTGGCTAACAATCTAAAGAAACAAATTGAAGTCATATTTCAGGAAGTTTCAAAGTTTTATTGTCTTCATATAAAGAACCCCGCTATAATTAATATATCCGAAAAATATCCCGTGAAGAATCGTGTTTCGCTAGCAAGGGCCCCACAACTTTTTCTGTCAAAAAATCGGCTTTTTTCGCTGCAGCATTACAATATTTTCTCTACAAAGTAGGTTTGAGATAGTCAACATTGAGAAGGAGACACAAAATTGCAAATTTAGTCATTCTTTTATTCAGTACGTCTCTACCACCGCGGGTATGTCTCAACTGGCAAATCTTTTCGCACTGCAGTCCCTCTGACTGGGAGGTTCAAGGTTCGAGTCCCGACGGTGGCATGATTTTCGACACTAGCTTGTCACTTTCGACACTAGATCGAATTCAGCCGCTATCTAGAGGAGAATTCTAGCGGCCGACCTGTGATCGGTAGTTTCCCGTGGTTTCTACGATCAACACAATGCGAATGCCGGAACAGTACCCTAACGAACCGGCCACGGACCGTGCGTGATGTTTCCTACCTCTTTCTTGTCTCATCCTCACCCCCTCACACACACACACCAACATGCATTACACTACCACACGTGGCGGGAGACCGGTCTGGAGCTTAGAGCTTTGTCCCAGATGGGACGGGAACTCGCTGGTGGGAGATATCTGGTTGGGGAAAACACCACTAGCCGACTGTAGGTTGGGGCCGGATCTCGCTATACAGCGGCGGAAGTTTACCGCCGCCTTAGCAAAACCGCAACAGCACCGTGAGCAAAAACATGCACTAGACTTATGAGATTAATGACCCTAGTAGTTGACACGCCCGGAATCACTAACAAACAGTCTATTCGCTTGTGCGGCGCTCGACTGCCCTGAGGCGTACGTGCAATGCCTCTTCACGTAGTGATGTGACATGGCGCACAAAACCTTGATGCTAACAAACATCAATGCTCAAAATTAATTCATGTTAAAAATACACAAAAATCATCGATTTTTAAACATCGATGTTTTGAAGCTGATATAGTAACCTCTAACTTGAAATGTTCGATTGGGACAGTATTTAACCCAACAGAGCACTCGCCTGGTCTCTGAAACCCAGATCTAATAATTCATGATTTCTGCGGTAGAAGGCGCAGCAATAGAGATGTATTGTTCCATATACGAGTATCTTCCTATATTATCTCTAGTTATTTATTGCGTTATAAGCAATGACATTTTCGAAACGGACTTTGAGGAATAAACGTTTTGAGACTACTGGGTCCTGTAGACCCACTGAGAGCATTGCTGTAACAAGCTGGGTACTCAGTTACAAGTTAGTATTTACCATTAAATCGATGTATATCATGAAATAACTGTCCGGGTTATGTTTTAACTAATGTTCTCATGTGGTTGGAGAATCCTTGCATGCATTCTGATTGGTGATAAAGCGTGTGGATGTAAATAATGGGTCCTGATATGTCAAACACAAAATCATTACTTTTATGAAAAAGAGGAAAGATATTCGTCTACCTGCCAGGTGCGTTGAAGAATTGATGTATGTATGTGGAACTCGTTTGATGTAAAAAGTAGCTAAATTTTCTTACGAAACATGAAATGCCAATGTTTTTATATTCACTCAAATACCTCAAATATCCTCACAGAAAAATCTCAGTGGGTTCTATCAGGGGATCCCGTACTTCGTGATTAGCAATTCTTTCATCGCAGCCCACGGCGAAATACGCGTGACTTGCTACAGGGAGTGAGCCAGTATATGCTACTAAGAAGCCTGGAAATTATCGGGACAGACAGACAGTTCTAACTTGGAATAAAGATTTGCTTTGCGATTTCCACTAGATGATGCGGCTCACAGAAAGAAGCAGTACGTCACAGTCCACGGGTTGTATATTCATCCAAAGCCACATAATAACTGATAGACACGCATTTTTGTAGTTGTCAAACTGCTTGTATAACAGGAAACCTAAGACATAACCCTTGGTAATTGTTTTCAAATTCCCTCACATTTTAGTGTGTCTAGTTTAATTATAGATAAGAATGAAAATAATAAAAAAGATAAGATTTTATGATAAATGTACGAGATAATGAAGAAATAAAATATGAGTAAATTACAACTTATGTAGTTTATAGTGCAGAGAGCTGCCCTTAGGTTTTTGGAAACATCGAGACTAAGGACAATTATTAGAAGGAGCGTTTCCAACGTTGGGCGAGATCAGAGGGTAGCCCTTTGAATATCCGTGTGGCGTGCAGGCAACGCTAGGTGAGGGATTTGCACGCGATTTTGCCACGCCACAGAGGCGGCCCAGTTGTCAGCCAGAGGGATTGACATTAAACGATGGGGAGCCTGAGGACGAGGGCGCGACAAACGGCAGAGAGAGAGTGTATTCCACCAGTGAGAGATAAAGGGGAGAGCAGCAGCCGTCGGAAATTGAAAGGGGACGGCTGGATGGAATTGAGAATTTGATGATAAGAGCCGAAAGAAAAAGGGGAAATTATCGATGGATGGGTGGATGGCATCTGTCAGATAGCACGAGATGAGTACAGCTGAGCGTTTGAAGCCTGGGGGCGCAGGTTGGAAAATTTGGGTCCGGTGCTTCGGAGATACGGTGTGTCTGTGATTGCAACGTCGATAATTAAATGATCGCAAACGGATGATAATTCGAGGGTCAGCTTATATGTTACGTAAAATATTTCTACCTTCTACATTGGCATACTAAGGACGTATAGAATAGGGTGGTTATTTTTTTGGCAGGGTTGGAATTTCTGCAATTCGCTTCTCGTATACCTTACTTATTCCAATGCACGACGAAATTGAAGGGAAAAAAATAAGCTTCTGGACATGTGAGTGGTATTGTTGGTTTTATTCAATGTTCAGGAATACGGGAAAAATCCAAAAAGAATGAAATAGTTTTGATTTTGACTGAAATATGCAAATATTTGTTTGTAGAATTTCTCCTGTTTTTCTACTGCGCGTTCCAAGTGATTTATTCTCAGTGTGGTACTGCTGTAAGACATAAGTGACGTCATACGACAGAAAGGCTCCACGGAAGAGGCCACACGCTGTTGAATACTATTCACGCGTTGCGTTATGAAACGGCAACTTTTGTTCGTGATGTTCGTTCATGTTCCTTCTTTGTGAAGAACTTTTCTGTGTATCCGTATGCATATGAACACCCTGCGTGAACATGCAGCTAAAGGCTGCGGGCTTGAGTCCCGCGTAAGCCACGAGTGTTGTTGCCATGTGAATCATAAACGCAAAATCATTGCTTTTTAATTTTTTTGCGTCGAAAACCGTTAAAACCTGTGTGGTGTACTAGGAGAAGTAGTGCAATAAGTGCAGGGTTTTATGAGCTCATCCATTTATTTTTAAACTCATATACATATTAAGTTGAGTTATTTAGAAACCAGATTTTTTGGCAATAATTGATATGAAAATATTCGCTCCCATATAATAAAATCCCATTTGCAAAGGCAAATAAGCTACATATGTACACTGTTATCCCTAATACTTCACGTGAAGGAATCGACTTACTGCCGCGATGGAAAACTATTATTCGAATATCTACATTACTGAAAGAGCTAAGGAAAAGGTTCACAGATAGTGAAGATATTTATGTCCAGAAGCAAGCAAGGGGCCATCTCAGCATTGCCCCATGGATAAGGGAAACTGGACGAAAAAACCTGATCGAGATGGGGCCATTGACCCAGAAGCTGAGGTACAATACTTATTGCAGGTTTATTTACGTAATCTTGTAGATTGTTTGATAGTTTGTCAGTAATTCCGAGCGCATGAACTGCTATGGTC